CCTCCCCCTGTCCTCCCTCTCTGTCTCTTTCTGATGGTGTTCACTGGTTGACTACTTTTTCTTTCTCTCTTTTTGGTACTGGGGATAGAACTCAGGACCTTGCGCTTTCGAGGCAGGAGGCAGCACCACTGAGTTAAATCCCTGGCCCTACTTTTTCTTTTTTTTTTGAGGCAAGGTCTTGCAATGTAGTTCATCCTCACCTTGAATTCACTATGTAGCCCAGGTTGGCCTCAAACTCGAGGCAATCCGCCTGCCTCAGCTTCCTGAATGCTAGGTCACAGGCATGTGACACCACACCGGGCTACTTTTTTATTTTTATTTTTTAAGAGTAGGAACTTTATTGAGGGAGAAACAGCCTCTGAGAGGCAGGAGGGGACCAGGAAAGTGGGTTACCAATGAGCCCACTTCTCAAAGGAAGTTTCATAGAGCAAAATCTCGAGGTGGGTACAATGTGGGTCAAGATTATGGTCAACCAATAAGATTACGAGTACAGGGCCAGGGATGTAGCTCAGTGGTTCTGCCGCCTGCCTCGCAAGCACAAAGACCCGAGTTCGATCCCCGGTACCAAAAAACCCAAGAAGATTACAAGCACAGCCACTTAGGTGATAGTGACCCAGGAGTAACAAGGGATGTGGATGGCATCATCCACCTTGGTCAGTAATCTGCCCTCTCAGTCTCGGTGGGTGGGAGAGGATGGCCCACCTCTAATGAGGTAACAGTTTCGTTATGCGGGAGGTCTCAAAAGGGTGGTCCCAGTCATCTCCAGCTTCCCTTTATCCCCAGGGAAGCATGCAGGTCTGGCCACTGAGACTTTGATCTTCAGATGCGCCTCCAGCCACATCGTGATGTCTTCTCATCTTCTGCCCTGGCTCCCTCGAGGGCCCAGCCCTGTCTGACTGCCTAGAATATTTCCACCTAACTCAGCTGTCTCTCTGAAGAGGTACCTCAACTGCCGGGAGGGGGCAAGGGGCGGCTTGACTACTTCTAATGTGTTCAGCCCAAGCATGGGTGTGATGGGACATGGTCCCTCTCCACTTTCTGAGACCTTTCCATTGTTTCTATCCAACTAATTGACACCCTTCCCTGCCTGACCAGGAGTAGGCTTGCTGTCCCGGACTTCTGTCTTCTTTTTACAGTGAAACCATTACTTTAGCCACCTCATTCATACCCAGGAATAAAATGATTCCCAAAACTCTTCTCTGTGCACACTATTAAAAGTTTAATTCTGGGGGCCAGGGATTTAGCTCAGTGGTTCCGCCGCCTGCCTCGCAAGTGCAAGGTCCCAAGTTCAATCCCCTGCACAAAAAAAAAAAAAAAAAAAAGTTTAATTTTATCACTGTGGGAAGCTGAGACAGGAGGGTCACAAATTTGAGCCCAGCCTGGGCAACTTAGCAAGACCCTGTGTCAAAAAATCCAAGAAGGGCTGTTGATATAGCTTAGTGTGAAGGACCTGGGTTCACTCCCCAGTACAAAAAAAAAAGGAAGAAAAAGAAAAAATATATAGTAACATTTATTTCAGATATAAAGAACAGCTGCAAAGAGAGTGTAGAGAATTTCCATATATCCCAAACCTACTTTCCTTTTGTTGAAGTCTTACACGAGTAAGAGGAACATTAGTGTGGAACATTTTTCATAACTAACAAACTGGTATCAACACCTTATTAACTGAAGGGCACACTTTGTTCAGATCTCCTTAATTCTAAGTTCTAAGGTCAGGCTCACTTCCAGAGTCTTCACCTGTCCCTTTCCCTCCCAGGGCCCCCCTGTCGGATGTGTACATTGTCCTGAGGCTGCTCCTGACCAGGACAGTTTCTTGGACGTTCTTTGATGACCTTGACAATCTTGAGGAGTACTGATCGTGGGTTTTGTAAAGAGTCCTTCAATTGAGGAGTGTCTGGCACTTCTCTCATGATTGGTCTTGGGGAGTTAGGCCTCGGGGTGAAGTGCCCTTCCGTCACAGCCTGTCCCTTCTTCCATTTGGATGCTGATCTGTCCTCAGAGTCCTACCAGGCATCTGGGCACCCTGAAGTCCTTCTTGCTCTCCCTGTCTCTTCCGAGTCAATTCTCCCCCACCCCTGGTAAGAAGCGTGGTGATCTTCATTCTGTTTGCATGAAATAACAAAGCTAAACACAACAAGTATCATTCACAGTGTATAGTTTCCTATAAGAGCTTGGTTGGGTACTTTAAATATATAAATTCTAATCTTCACACTAATCACAAAGTAATCACCATTCCAGTCTTATAGACATGGAAGCCACGTGTCTTAGAGTTTAAATTTCCCCCTAGGTTTTCCTCCTACTGCACACCCTGTTCTTTCCCAGTCTCCTTCACTAGCTCCTCCAAGTCTCATCCTCCTCCAGGGAGGGAGTAGCCCGCCACTGTAGCCCAGCTTCCCTTTCTGTGTGTGCTCACCACTTGGTGGTCTCTGCCCCATGGTTTTCAGTACCATCTCCAGGTTGAGGAATAACCGGATCATGACTCCACCTTGGATCTTTCCATCAATGTTCACTCACAAGGGCAAGGTCCCGAGTTCGATCCCTGGTACCAAAAATAAGTAAATAAATAAACAATAAAGTTCAGAGACACCAACACCTTCACTCGAATGTTTAAAAGACTCCGCAGCTCTGCTTCCAGGAGTGATGGAGAAGCAGGTGTTGTGTTATAATAACTGTAAGCCCCAGGACAAAATAAAACACTCCATTCTTTAACGTACTTGAGAGACCCAAAGCAGGTGGAAAGAGGGAGAAAGAACCAGTGGAAGAAGGGCGGGCAGCAGGAAGGATGTGTGATTATCATAAGGGCTTTGCCTGAGGACTGGACCAGAACAGGAGCATGGGAGGCCAGAACTCTGGCACAGAGCTGCAGGCCTTACTGGTTTGACAAGTTAGAGAGTGGGGTTTGGAATAGAAATCCAGGAAAGGAAGAAGGTGTGGAGGCTTCTTAAAAGTACGATAAAACTTGACCAAATCCCTATAGGAGGAAATAAGCAGAAAAAATGAATGGAAGCTGAAAGAACTGAGCAGAAAGTTTAGCTACTGCCATCTCAAGGGACCCAGAATTTGATTTTTATGCTTGCCAAGTGAATTTCTTGAAGACAAATACTCTTTGGGGGAAGACAACAGAATCCATGTCCCCTCTCATGGGCTATTCACAATGCCTAGTATAAAAACTGTAGACATAAATCGGTGGCACATCAAATACCTCTGGTGTCCACTTTGCTCAGGTCCCATTTATTCTGAGCACAGAATCCTCAGCATCGTCCAAAGACTAAACAGTCATCCAGTGCTGTGCCCAGCCCTGGGGACCTTTCAACCCTCACTGTCTCAGCAGCATTGAGGATTAAAGCCAGGGCCTCTCCACCAGCCACACTCCCAGCCCCTTTGCTTACTTTTCAAGACAGGGTCCCACTAAGTTACCAAATTGCCCGGGCCTGGCAATCCTTCCAGAATGCTGGGATTATAGATGCATGCCTCCATGCCCAGCTTCAAGCTACGGTGGTACCTCAGTTCACAAACTTAATTTGTTCCACAATTTTGGAAAAGATAGCCACATTCATGTTCATGTGGGAAAGATGGCAGTGGTTTGTCATCAGATGCAGTTTGCAAACAAAAACAAGATTTTGCTAAACGCTTCTTTGTGAACCAAATTGTTCTCAGACAAAAGCATTGGTAAACGGAAGTGTCACTGTATTTCTTAAAAACAAAACAAAGCAACCTAGAAAAGCAATTCCTGTTCAAAAGGAAGAAGAGCCAAGTGTGGTGGTGCACTCCTGTAATCCTAGCTCTTGGGAAGCTGAGGCAGGAGGATCACTGCAAATTCGAGGCCAGTGAGAGCTACAAAACAAAACAAAAAAAGATTTCTGAGAATATAATAGATATGTTCAACAAGTTAAAAGAAAATACAATCATGATGAATAATCAGATGGCCAGTTTCAATAGAAAACTAGTGTGGGTTTTGGGGTTTTTTTTTTGGGGGGGTTGCAGTACTGGGGATTGAATTAAGGGACTTGTGGATGCTAAACAAGTGCTCTACCACTGAGCTACTTCCTCAGCCCAAGGTCTAGAAACTATAAAAAAGAATCTAATACCAACTCAAGAATTAAAATGGTACACTAAAGAGAAAAGTATCACTAAATTTATTGATGATGGAAAAGTCAGCCTGAATAAAAACTAATAAAATTTATAATAATCTGAGAAACAGGGAAGAATAGTATTTGAAAAATGGGCAAAGCTTCATTGACTCATAGGACAGCATGCAGTCTCTAACATACATATAAGCCAATTCCTAAAAGGAGAAGAAATAGACAATGGGCCACAAAAAGTATTTGAAGAAATAACAGCCAAAGATTTGCCAAGTTTAACAAAAACTATAAACTTACAGATCCAAGAAGCTCAGCAAGCTGACAGCTTAATAAATACAAGTAAACATACTTCTGAAACACATTATAATTAAGTTGAAAAAAAGCTGAAAATCTGGAAAGTGACCAATAATCACACCATAGTACATACAGTGGATTCACAGTGTAAAAGTCAGCTGACTTCTCTTCCGAGATAATGGAGGCCAAAAGGCAATGGAATACCATATTGAATGTGCTAAAAGTGAAACCCTGCGGGCCTAGGATTGTATGTACAGCAAGGAGATTCCTCCAATACGGAGATGAGATGTTGATGTTTTCAGATGAAGAAAAGAACTACAAAACCTAAAATCAGTGGCCTAAGCAGAGGTCTTCTCCTCCCCTCCCCCACAGCCCTGCACACGGCAGTCAGGAGTCAGTGCAGGGCGGACACTGTCAGGATGGTGTAGCTTCTGGGGTGCAGGCCCTCAGTCCCTTCACTTTGTGACCTTCAGCTGCAGGTTTGTCACTTCGAGGTCCAAGACAGCCGCAGCACCCCAGGTGCCGTGTGCATCCCAGCAGGAAGAGGCTGGGAGGCTGTGTCCCTTCAGCTGTTGCAGGGTCCAGAGCCATCTTTCCTGAGGCCTTGGGCCTTGGCCTGTGCTGTCGGAGTGAGTTGGGGCTCTCTTAGTGCATGTGGGGAGCACATGTGTGCTGAAGAGACAGAGACCATCATTTAGTTTCGGTGAACTGCAGTCTTGAGGGAGATTTTGTAGATAATAAATATGTGGGCGTGTATAGGACAGGCATTATATGCATATGCACATATATATTCTTAGATTTAGACAGAGCAGCATAACTATTTTTGTAGTGCTGTCTTAGGAATTTTTAAATCTCTGTTCTCTCAATTTTGACCATAGGTTTTTTTTTTTCTTTTTAATCAACTTTTGGCTCTGTTGATCCTTTCTACTGGATATTTAAATGTGTTTTTTTAAAAAATAGCTTTCTGCTCTTAATTTTAGTTCTTTTATAGATTTATTCTACTGTTCCTTTTCTGACTTCGTAAACTGGATGCCTAGCTCATTAATTTTCTATTTTTCTCCTTTTCTAATACAGTTGGCCTCTGTATGCATGGGTTCCACATCAGCAGTTTCAAGCAACCATTTATGAAAAATATTTGGAAAAAATTTCATCTGTACTGAACATTTATAGATTTTTCTTTTCACTATTTCCTTAAGAGTACAGTATAATAGGGCTGGGGCTTCAGCTCTGTGGCACTGCACCTGACTCATAAGTGGTAAGTGTGAGGTCCTGAGTTCGATCCTTTGTACCTAAAAAAAAAGAATACAATATAATAGGCATTTGCATTAGGTATTATAGTAAGAGGTTTATTTATTTACTTATTTACTGTGGTACTCAGAGTGAACCCCAGGCCTTTGCACTGAGCTAAATCCCCAGCCCTTTTATATATTTTATTTTGAGACAGGGTCTCATTAAATTGCCAAGTTGCCCAGTGATCCTCCTGCCTCAGCCTCCCAGAGTGCTGGGATTACACCCATGGGTCACCATCCCTGGGTTATAGGGATGCTTTAAAGTACACCCAAGAATGTGCACAGGTTATAAGCAAATATGTCGTTTTATACAAGGGCCTTGAACCTGGGAAGATTTTGGTATGTGTGGGGTCCCAGCACCCCAGGTACTGAGCAATGAGTGTGCACGTGTCTAAGGCCACTCCCTAACATTTGATATGTGATACACTATTGCTTAGTAGTAAACATTTTTTCCCATTTTTCTTCATTATGATTTCTTTGGGGGCCCATAAGTTATTTCTAATAATTTTTTTACATTTCTAAACATTTGAGATTTAAAATGAATCCCTTTGTTATTCATTTCTTTGTTTTTGTTTTCTTGGGGGTTTTTTGGTACCGGGGATCGAACTCGGGACTTTGGCAGGCAGGGGAACCACTGAGTTAAATCCCTGGTCCTATTCATTTCAATTCAACTGCACAGAGTCAAAGAAGTTGCTACATAGCTAAATTGATTTTTATTATTTATTTATTTATTTTTGGTACTGGGGATCGAACTTGGGACCTTGCGCTTGTGAGGCAGGCAGCGGAACCACTGAGCTAAATCCCTGGGCCTGATTTTTATTTTTCAGAGCAGTTTTAGGTTTACAGGAAAATTGAGCAGAAAATGCAAAAGATTCCCCTAACCCTCATCCCACTACCCCTGCAGCTTCCCCTATTAGGAACACCTCACATTGGTGCACTGGTGTGGTATGTTTGTGACAATAAATATTTTCATATTTTATTTTTTTGTGTTTTGGAGAAAGGGTCTCACTGTGTACTTCAGGCTGGCCTTGAACTCAGGCACTCCTCCTGCCCGAGTGCTGGGATCATAGGTGCTCAGCACCACACCCGGCGTTACAATATATGAACCAGTATCAATATGTTATTACTAACTAAAGTCACACTTTACATTAGGATTGTCTCTTTGTGTCGTACAGTTTCTTGAGTTTTGCAGGATAATACAGAATCATTTTGCTATCCTAAAATTCTCCTGCACTCTACCCACTCATCGCTCTTTCTTCTTTCGTGCCCGGCAACCTCTGATCTTTAACCGTCTATAGTTTTACCTTTTCCAGACTGTCAGGTAGTTGGAGTCATGCAGTCCGCAGCCTTTCCATCCTTTTTTTTTCCATTTAGCAATATGCATTCAGAGTTCCACCATGCCTTTTTGTGGCTTGACAGCCCATTTCTTTTTTTTTTTTCTCTTTTTTTTGGTACCAGGGATCGAACTTGGGTCCTTGTGCTTGCGCAGCAGGGGGCGAAACCACTGAGCTAAATCTCCGGCAAGCCCATTTCTGTTTAGCACAGAGTAATATTCCCTGGCACAGACACATGCATTTGTTTATCCACTCGCCTCCAGGAGAACATCTTAGTTGCATCCATTCAGGGTAAATTATGAATAAAGCTGCTATAAACACTTGTGTGGAGGTTCTGAGTGGGCATAAATTTTTAGCTCAACTGTTTCATTGCTGGGTTGTGTGGTATGATATTGTTTAACTTCTTAAGAAGTTGCCAAGTGCCAGGGATTTAGCTCAGTGGTTCCACTGCCTGCCTTGTAAGTGCAAGGCCCCGAGTTCAATCCCCAGTACCAAAACAAAGAAGCTGCCAAGTTACCTCCAAAGTGACTGTACCATTTTGCATTCTTGCCAGCAAAGAGAGAGAGTGAAAGCCGTCACCCCTGTCTTTTGCTATTCTTGGTATTTGGGGTTTTAGCCAGTCTAATAGCTATAGAGTGGTATTTTGTTTTAATTTGCGATTTTGTAATGATACACTGTGCTGCGTGTCTTTTCACACGCTTACTGGCTGCCTGTTTATCTGCACCAGTGAGGTGTCCTCAGATCTCTTACACAGATCGGGTTCTTTCCTTTTTTTGGTACCAGGGATCAAACTCAGGACCTTGTGCTTGCAAGGCAGGCGCTGTGCCACTGAGCTAAATCCCCGGCCTTTTTTTGGTTTTGTTTTTTGTTTTTTTACTTGTTTGGTACTGGGGATCAAACTCAGGACCTTGCGCTTGGCTTTCGAGCCAGGCGGCAGCACCACTGAGCTAAATCCCCGGCCCTTTTTTAGTTTTTTATGAGACAGGGTCTTGCTACATAGTCCAGGCTGGCCTTAAACTCACTATGTATACCAGGGTCCTCCCAAGTGCTGGGATGACAGGCGTGCACACCACATCCAGCTCTTTATTTTCTCATTGTTGAATTTTAAAAGTCCTTTGTATGTTTTGGGTACATGTCCTTTGTTTGTTTTTTGGTACCGGGGATCAAACTCGGGTCCTTGTGCTTGTACAGCAGGCGGCGAAACCACTGAGCTAAATCCCCAGCCCCAGGTACATGTCCAGAAAGGTCCAATTTTAATGAAGTCCAACCTATCTTTTCTTCCATGGATTGTGCTTTTGGTGTTATATCTAAAACTTCACCCCAAGCCCAAGTCACCTGGATTTCTTCCCGTGTGATATACTCACCTGACTTGAAATGTGTGCCTTTCCCACGCTTTTTCATAGCATGATCTTCCTTTAACTTCATTTCAGAAATTTGTGGGCCGTTCATTTTCATTTTCCACATTTTAGCAGCCACATTCTGAATCCCTTACTTCTCCGCTTTCTTCTCTCTTGGGCATTTGCTTCTTTCGGTCAGTAAAAGGTTCGTTCTTTTTTCAGTTTTCTGGAGCCTCTGGTTTCACAGCTGTGTTCTCTAACTTTTTCACAGTGATTCCCTTCACTGTATAAACGGAGGGAAAGCAAATGATGTGGTAATGGAGATCAGGAGGCTGAGCAGGAGGACTGCTGCAGGCTTGAGGCCAGCCTGGGATACATAGTGAGTTTAAGGCCAGCCTGAACCACATAGTAAGACTGTCTTTTTAAAACGGCAAATGAGGGCCGGGGATTTAGCTCAGTGGTTCTGCCACCTGCCTCGAAAGCGCAAGGTCCCGAGTTCGATTCCCTGATACCAAAAACAAACCGAAAAACAAAAAGGCAAATGATATGAAGTGAAAGTAGCAGTCACTGGCTTCCTGAAGCAACCTCAGGAGATAAAGAAGCAAACAGTTTCCAACTTTGCAACTCCTGCCTGTTTGACCTTAATGTACACAGAGTCTACACCCTTGTCACAGTTTCTGTACTGATTTCCTTGCAGCCTCAGCAAGGGTACTTTAGTAACAAGTTTCTATGACAGAATTTAAACTGGCAACATCTCTCCTAGCAGAACGGAAATTTTAATTGGTTCCTTCCCATTTGCCTTTCCTTTCTGTCACTGAGCATTTGAGTTCCTAATGGTTCTAACACTTCCACTCTCATTTCATCTGTAAATAATATTAGTAAGATATATATTTGATGCACTTGCTAGGGACTGATTTTGTAAATAACTGCTGGTTATGATTAAGTATGCGGCTTACAAGGACAACCCACTAAGTCATTCACATAATTTCTGTCTAGCGTGTTTAATTTAGACAAGCTAAGGCAGCAGGTAGATGTGGGTTTCCAGGGCTGTTATAACAAGTTGCCACACAACAACAGAACTGTATTCACTCACAGTCCTGGAGGCCAAAAGCCTGAAGTCAGGTATCAGCTGGGCTGTGCTCTCTGTGAAGGCACTAAGGGCAGAGCCCTTCCCGCAGTCCTGTGTCCCCTGGCTGCCAGCTGGGGTGCCCAGATTTTGCATGGCCACTCTGCTGCTGTGCACCTGCTGTTCCAGATCTCCTCCTTACAAGACCACTGGGTTTAGGGTCCCTCCAGTCCAGTATGAACTCATCTTTTTTCTGATGGGGGGAGTTTGAGATGGGGGTCACACTATGCAGTTCAGGCTGTCCTTGAACTCCTTATGTAGCCCAAGCTGGCCTTGAACTCATGAGGATCCTCCTGGCTCAGCCTCCTGAGTGCTGGGACTACAGGTGTGTGCCACCATGCCTGGCTAAGGACCCTATTTTTGTTTTTAAGTACTGGGGATTAAACTCAGGAACTTGCACTTTCGGGGCCGGCATGGTGCCACTGAGCTAAATCCCTGGCCCCCGAGGACCCTATTTCTAAATAAGGACACAGGGGCAGATATTACTGTCCCAATGTGAGCATGGCTGTCACACCCTGCTGACCTGAGCTTGGGAGGTGTACACCAAAGTGCATGTTATGCTTGGCCAAGTGCCTTTTCTTTCAGTCCTTACTGGAATAGTATTATTATTTTTGAAAAAAATCCAAACCCAAACTTGAAGACACATAGGTATGCCTTTCCGGGAGTCATTCTGGGTTTGGTGTTCTTGCTTCCATTTTTTGCTTAGTGTTTATATAAATTAGAACTTACTTTCTGGGATTCTGGCTCCATCGCCCCCTTCCTCCAAATTTCTTTTTGTCCTTATGTCTCCTGTGGGTCTTAAATTGTCCTTGACTAGCATTTTTTTTTATTTTTTTGAAGGACTGGAGTATCAAATCCAGGACCTTGTGCATGCTAGGCAAGCACTCTACTGAGCTACATCCCCAGCCTTTAAAAATTGTTTTTTGCCGGGTGTGGTGGTGCACATCTGGAATCCCAGCACCGTGAGTTCGAGGCTAGCCTGGACTACAGAGTGAGACCCTGTCTCCAAAAGAAAATTTCTTTTTGGACACAGGGTCTCATTATGCCTTGAACTTACTGTGTACCCAGCCCAGTCTGGTCTCAAATTCATGGTGATCCTCCTGCCTCAGTCTCCCAGGTGCTGAGATTACAGGCAAGTGCCACCATAGCCGGCTAAAATTTTTAAATTTTGAGACAGGGTCCCACTAAGCAGCCCAGGCTGGCCTTGAACTTGCCATCCTCCTGCCTCAGCCTCCCAAGTAGCTGGGATTCCTGTTGTGCACAATTACACTCAGCCTGAAGTGCTCAGTTCTGATTCCAGACCACAGTTTCCCTGCTGTGGAGGGTGTGGCAGGCAGGTCCCAGGATCCTGGGCCTACACTTCCCAGCCCCAGTCAGGGCTGGCTGGCATTCACTTACCGGCTCCGGCTCCAGCTCCGCGCTGAGAGGAACTCTGCAGACTTCTGCGGCTGCTCTCAGCGAGCCCTGATTCACCTCCTAGTCTTACTTTTCCAGGCATATGGGTTCTCCTTTCCTGGGGTCCTCCCGACACCCCATTCTTCCCTTTGCTTTCTCTCACACCAGTGCTGCTACTGTGCTGGGCTGCAGGTGCTGTCTTGGCCCCGGCCCCTGGTATCTGTGGTTTCTCACCCAGTTTTGTTTTAAGTATCTTCGAGGTTTGGGTTTTATTATCCAGCGACTCTGTTTTTACTTGAACACTGGGGGAAATTCATTATGCCAATCTCAAGAGGTCGCACACTGTGTGATCCCAGTTAAATTACATTCTTGAAATGACACAATTGCCAAGATGAAGCTGGATTCATGGTTGCCAGGGGTGAGGGATGCTGGGCTGGGGGACAGGGAGAGCTTGGGGTGAGGGCGGCTCTGTATCTGGGGTGCAGCAGCGGAACCTGAGGGCGCACTGGAACTATGAAGGTGCCACGGGGGAGAAACCAGGTCGGGGTGCTTAGAGCCCTCTTTGCCACTTCCTGTAAACTTACACTTATTTCAGAGTTCAGATTTGTTTTTGGTACCGGGGGACGAACTCGGGACCTTGCGCTTGCGAGGCAGGCAGTGGAACCACTGAGCTAAATGCCTGGCCCATTGTTTAGTTTTGTTTTGAGATGGTCTCACTATGTAGTTCAGGCTGCCCCTGGACTCACGGTGATCCTCCTGCCTCACCCTCCTGAGTGCTGGGATTACAGGCACACTCAGTTTAGAATTTGAGCTTTTTAAGGGAGGAATGAAGAACTGATATAGGCAACAATAGGGACAAACCCTAAAAACATTATGTTGCTGATTGTGCTGCATGCTTGAAATCTGAGAACTCCAGGAGGACCTGGCAGGAGGGCTGCAAGTTTGAGTCCAGCCTAGGCAATTTAGCAAGATTGTGTTTCAAAATAAAAAATTTAAAAAGGGCTAGGATGTAGTTCAGTGTGAAGACCTTGAGTTCATTTCCTACCTAGTACCACAGACACACGCACGCACACACACACACACACACACAATTATGAAGCGTAAAAATGCCAGTCAAAAAAGACAATGTACGGGGCCAGGGATTTAGCTCAGTGGTTCCGCTGCCTGAGTTTTCATGATGGCTTCTATGGGCATATGTATGTATCAAAACTTGTAAATCATGCAGTTTATTTTATATCAACAATACCTCAGTAAGGCTCCTTTTAAAAAAAAGTATGATTCCATAATCTTCCTAAAATTAGAAATCATCTTCTTTTTTTTCGCGCTTGCGAGGCAGGCACATTGCCACTGAGTTAAATCTCCAGCCCGTAGAAATCATATTCTTAATTTTCAATAATTCATTCTTTTTTTTGGTACCAGGGATCGAACTCGGGTCCTTACGCTTGCAAGGCAGGTGGCAGAACCACTGAGCTAAATCCCCGGCCAATAATTCATTCTTATTCTTTGTTCCTTGTTATAAAAAGCTGCATCTTTGAAAATATGAATTATTTGTTTTCCATTTTATTTCCTAAATTGTTTCTAATGTCAGATTTTTTCTATTTCTTTAAATCTTGGTTTTCCATTTGTAGGGTATAGGTTTCTCTCAACATCTGATGATCTTTGATTTTTTGCTCATATTGTAAAAATAGGAAAGACAGTACCCCACTTCGGGCAGTGACACATGCCTGTAATCCCAGGTACGTAGGAGGCTGAGACAGTTTGAGGCTAGCCTGGGCATCTTAGTGAGACCTCTTTCAAACTAAAAAAAAATTAAAATGGCTGAGGATATAGCTCAGTGGTAGAGCAGCCATAGGATTGATCCCCTGTACCACAAAAAGAAAAGAAGGAAGGAAAGATGGAAGGGACGAAAAAAGAGGAAAAGTCAAGGCCTCAACTCATATAAACAGGAGGCCTGGATTGTTCTGGGGCAAAGTGAGGGGAATCTTGCTTTAGGAAGTCAAAGTCAAACTTGGATTCTAGAATGAGGGAGGAGTTTACTCCGGTGCCCAAACCACACTGGCTGCCCCAGCTCCTTCCAGACTTTGCATTTGCCTTTTAGTGGTTGTTGTTTTGTTTTCAGTTTTCAGAGGACTGTTCTGTGCTCTCTGAGCTAGAACTTGGGCGGAAGAGATCTGCATGCAATCACCCGCCCATGTTTAGCCCCAGTAGTCACTTCCGCTTTTACTCCCATCGAAGCAGCCTCGTCCACCCACATCTGCTGAGCAAGCGTGGCCCTGGCTTGAAAACACATCTACCCCGTTCCTCACCACAGAAACCCAATCCTGAGACTCACCTCCTACATATACACTCACATAAACATTCAGAGGTGGAGGCACAGGGTTGCCACTTATAAATACTCACTTCGCATTATTTACTGTGGAATTAGACGACTCTACATATACATGCTGAAGAATCATGGTTCATTTATGTCTGGCTTCACTCATATCTGCATGGAAAAATTCTGTCCTGAAATGCTTATATGCTGCATCAAACATCTCTAATGGAGAACATACAATAGTTCATAATGTTTACACCTAGTACCATAATATGCAGCACTACCAGAAAAACTGAAAGGAAAACAATGAAGAAAAGTGACCAAGAGAAAAGAAAGTAGGAGACATGGAAGAAAGGAATCTGAGAGAAGAAATGAAAACATGTATTAAATCAAAGTAAGCACATAAAGAAACAATTCATGAAAAATTTCAGACCTTGATTTATAAAGA